CCTAGGTCTTAGACAAACACTCTTGATCAACTATTGTCAGTCAGGACTCTTTCTTCATAGAACATTTCCACCTACATTTACAAATGTATCACTCGGTTTGCACAATTTTGTTGCATCAGCAGAAGATGCTAAAATTCAGATTTCTGAGAAACTTTGAAATTCCCTTGTAAACTTAGCAGAACAATGGTAGTAGTTCATACATGGCCAGTGTAAACGTTTTATTAACTGCATTACTGATGTTCTTTTCTAGGAGGCGATACCATGGGAAACTTTGGTATGAGTGTGGCCGGAGTTTTACAGGTCAAAAAAGATCTGGATCGGGAAGAAATCCCAGTGTATTCCATCATTGTTAAAGCGTCCAGTAACCGAAACTGGTCTCCTCCGAGAGGTCAAAGGTCACAGCGGGCCCAAGTGCTTGACCCAAGCCGTGACCCTACATTACAGGAAGTAAGAATCTTCCTTGAGGACATCAACGACCAATCTCCGAGATTCACAAAGATGGAGTACACTGCAGGTAACAGATTTATTTTTATTCCAGCTTTTGACCACTGTTTTTAGGGTAATTTGGGGGTTTCATTTACTTTGCATCAAATATTATTTATTTATTTGGTCTAAAGCTATCTAGCGCCATTATCAGCTCAAAACTGGGCTTTTCTTCTGCTTGCAAATTTTAATTAGATTTTTCGATCTCTATCATCTTCATTCAGAATTGTAAAATATAAAATAAAATATTAAAGTAAAAGTTCTAATCTCACGAAGAAGTAGCATAAATAAGTTATGAAGATGTACAAATTTGCCAAGATAGTTTAGTGCGACCATCATATAACAAAAAAAAAAAAAAAGATTTATTATATAAATTATTTTTATATTAATTTCTTAATTTATATATATTAATTAATTAATTTATTTGTATTTAATTGCTTTAAAAATTAATTATATTTTTATGTGTTACGTGTGTCTCTCTCTCTCTCTCTCTGTCAGGTGTGGCTGCGGATGCTAAAGTGGGCTCTGATCTGATCCGGGTTCAAGCGATTGATAATGACATTGGCAACAACAGTCTTGTTCTTTATCACATTCTGTCCATCCGCTACATCAAACTGCATTCCAATGACTCTGAAGACATGGGCAACGTCTTCATCATCGGTCTGTGTGTTTTACACACTCTTCAGCTCTCTGTTGAAATGTCAGTTTTTTTAGTTGTTTTAGTGACTCTTCTTTCTTTTCAGGTGAGACTGATGGAATCATCCGAACATTTGACCTGTTTATGGCATATGATCTGGGTTATTTTGTGGTGGAGGTTCTGGCGAGAGATCTGGCAGGACACAGTGACGTGACTCTAGTGGGCATTTACATTCTGAGAGACGACCAGCGGGTGAAAATCGTCATTAATGAGATACCGGAGCGTGTCCGGCTGTTTCAGGAGGAGTTTATAAACCTGCTCTCAAACATCACAGGAGCCATAGTTAACACTGATGACGTACAGGTACATGTGTGTTTGTGCTGTCTTTATAAATATCATTAAAAATTAGATTACAGTCCTTATCTGTACAAAGTTAGATCAATATTTCTCCTGTCATAACCATGCAATTGAGTGAATCAGATATTTCTTTCCCATAGTTTCATGTGGATAAAAAGGGAAGAGTGAACTTCGCTCAAACCGATGTTCTGATTCATGTGGTCAACAAGCAGACCAACCGTATTCTAGATGTGGAGAGGTAAGACTTATATACAGTACCAAACATGACCTACATGTCAAATGGGTGTTTCTTGAACTATACCGGTTGCTTTATCATCTACACTATGATAATCAAACATAGAAATATTGATTATTGCATTAAACTGATGCAGTAGTCTCATCCACAGTTGCTTTGATCCATTGAGGATGATTGGTTGATTCACTGAATTGGTTTTCAGGGTGATTCAGATGATCGATGAGAACAAGGAGCAATTGAGGAATCTGTTTAGAAACTACAACGTTCTGGATGTTCAGCCTGCTGTGACCGCTCGTGCACCTGATGACCTCACCACCTTACAGGTGTGTGTGTGTGTGTGTATGTTTGTAGACAGTGTATTTCTTGTATTAAAAAGACATTATATACAGCATGAATGCCTATTTATCTCTTTCAGATGGCTATTATCATCTTGGCAGTTTTACTCTTCCTTGCTGCGATGTTGTTTATCCTGATGAACTGGTATTACCGCACAGTGTGAGTACTTTCATTAGAGAATCTTATGAAGCATTAGATTCTTGTGGAAAGAAGCACCACATCAAATCCTGTTCTGTCGTTTGTCATGTTCAATGCATAACCAGGTATCTGAGGTTCTATTATAAGATCGGAGGTTTTTGTTTCTTGTTTTTAACAGGCACAAAAGGAAGCTGAAGGCAATTGTTGCTGGCTCCACAGGTAAGATGCCGGGAATATCCCATCCCTCCGATTGGAGGAAGCTGAGACTAATCCTCACATGAGTTGAAGTTTAACAGTCATGGCTTTGTGTTTGTTGTCATGGTAAAAGCGTGTTTGGTTTGTCACTCTACATCTGCAGGAAATCAGGGGTTGATGGATATTCTGGATATGCCCAACACAAACAAGTACACATTTGAAGGGTGAGTATGCAATACAATGGTGTTGTTGATATGAGCCTTTATGTATATGTGTTAACAGAGCTCCAGACTGCTAAAATAATCACACGTGTCACAAAACTTAACATACTCTTAATATATGAGATATGTTCAAAATGCAATTTTGGTTATTATCTAGCATAGACTGAATTGTAAGGTTTAACTGATTGTATCTCAATGCTTCTCTTTCTCTGTTTGTGTGCTTATAGAGCAAATCCAGTGTGGCTAGATCCTTTCTGCAGGAATCTGGAGTTAGCAGCACAGGCGGAGCATGAGGACGACCTTCCTGAAGACTTAAGTGACATTGCTGACCTCTGGAACAGCCCGGCTCGCACACACGTAATAAACTCACAAAAACGCTGACAGAATTATGCCATGGTGCATGTATTGTCATAGACCTTCTCTTTGTCTTCTCTTGCCTTTGTGGGGTACTTAAGTGTCATCTTCACTTTGTAGGGTACTAAATAAATATCTTGTCTTTTATAGGGTACATTTGGACGTGATCCTCAGGCTTCTAAACCAGAGGATGACCGATATCTACGAGCTGCTATTCAGGAGTATGACAACATCGCCAAACTAGGACAAATCATGAGAGAGGGGCCCATCAAGGTGAGAACATTCGCTAGAGAACATAAACAGGCAAACCGTAAAATCTTTGATAGCACAAACAGAAGATGGGATCATCATAGAGCTTCAGTACTTTTTGAGGCCTGATTCCTAGACTCAAATCCAAACTTGAACATATTTCAAATGTATTTTCAGTTTAGAATCAACATTTATGGTGTTATTTTGTCCAAACCAAGACTTAATCTCAGTTTGGGACCCAATATAATATAATGTGGAGTGAGATCATGTTCTTAAATGAGGTGAAATATCAGAATCGTGCTGTAGGATTCAGTTCATAAGACACCACATGACCAATGCTGCCATCCAATCAGGGCTCGCTGCTCAATGTGGTTCTGGATGACTATCTGAGACTCAAAAAGCTGTTTGCCGCCCGCATGGTCACCAAGTCAACCAGCCACGGTGACCAATCATCAGTCACAGAGGTGGGCAATGTGACAGGTTGCTGTGTTTGCTCTTCCTCTACACCCCTCTTCCTCACTGCTGGCTGACTATGTCTCCACCCTGTCCTATCAGTAGAATCCCTGGGTTCTCCTGCTGTCCAGTCATGTGACCCTGCTGATGTTTCCCAGGCTGGTTCACAGCCTGCTCACTGCTCTTCACTGCTTCACAGATGTGTTTGGTGCTCTCTCTTGGTGTTTCCTCTAAAACTGCTGTCAAATTCTAAGATTTTGTGTTGTTAATGTTTATTTTTCTCCTTCTTCCTTACATTCCTAATTCCATATATTAATCTATTATAAAATCCATAATGTCAATCATACCATCACTCCATCTATCCTTTCTTCTGTCCAACCATCATGCATCCATTTATTCATTCATGCATCTACCAATGCATCCATCTATAATTGAATTTGTCAATAATTGCATCCCACCATTCATCCATTCATCACTGTGTCCATCAATCCTTCTATCCACCCATCATGCATCCATCTACCAATCCATAAATGTATCCGACCATCCATAATACCATTCATCAACCAAACTATTAATTCCTCCACCCGTTTACCCATTCATCCATGCATCTATCCATCCGTGCAACTATTGCGTCTGTCCATAATTCCATCTCACCATACATCCATCATTGCATCCATCCACCAATTCATAATTCATCAATCAATGTTTGCATATGTCCTTAATTACATCCCACAAATGTGCATCCATGACTCCATCATTCCATTCATCGAATTATCATTGTATCCTACATTCCTACATTGTATCCATCCACCAATCCATAAATCCATTCAATCATCCATCCATCCATCCATCCATCCATCCATGCATTCATCACTCAATCATTTTCCTTTCCATTAAATCCTGCATCATTTCATTCATTCATCCATGTTCTCCTCTCCCAGCTGATCCAAAGTGACCTGGATGAAGATGACGACGAGCGCGTTGGTGTTGGAGGTCGAGGAACCCTTCGCTTCAAGCACAAACTACCGATTGAGCTCAGGGGTCCTGACGGGGTGCACGCAGTTCATGGCAGCACAGGCACGCTGTTGACCTCTGACCTAAACAGCCTGCCTGAAGATGACCAGCGTGCTCTGGCACGCTCCCTTGAAGCCTTGCACACAGATGGCGGACTGTATGCCGAACGCAACGCCCGAACAGAATCTGCAAAATCCACACCTTTGCACAGAAACAAGGGCAGCGACACTCTGTCTGAGAGTCCGTTAGAGATCACGGAATTATGACTAGCCGAGGCCTCGCTGGTCTGAGAAAACTACAATGTGCATGCCACTCCTGGCTCTTTGTTATCAACGGGAACTCTTTCCTGCGATGTGGAGAAGAGTTCAGGTTTGTAAGGGCCAGGTGTGAGGAGGGTGTGTAGGTGTGTGTGTGGACCTGGAACGCCCAAATCAAGGGTGGCTCATCTTGTCAGGGCTATTTCAAGAGTACTGAGACTTTTACCACACACACTCAAACTACACAATGGGCAGCGAATGCACTCTCAGACCAGTGGAAGGCCGAATACGGACATTAGTTTTTATTTAGTTACTTTTTCATATTTCGATAGGACACCAGGGAATAACATGGTCATGTATGTGTATAATTAACTGTTTGAACAGCTTATGAGAGTATATCTCTGGGGCTTTTCACACCGCAATTAACCCTGGGTTAAGCAACATTTCACACTTGGAAACTGAAAAAGGGTTTAACTGTGGGTTCTGAAGCTAGAACAGGGTTAGCACTGTTTATTGCAGTGCCATGGGTATATAGTCTGAAACTGTGCAGTGCTAGTAAATGTTGATGAGTTTAGCAACAGACAACCAGCCGTAAATGAAATCATTCAAATCATTCATGCACTTCGCATGGCTGCAGGAAGTATCTTTTTACGATTCGTAGAATAGTCAATGTTTAAAAATGTTGAACAGTGATGGTAAACGTTAACTGGAGAGATTATGAAACAGTATTATTTTTGTATGTATATATTTTTTTCTCTAGTGTTTAAATTCACAAAGCACGATTACAAAAATACTCCGTTTTCATGCAGGCAATCCAAACAGTTGCCATGTCTGCCACTGGTCGAAAAATGGCCCCAAACGCACCCCATTGATTGAGCTAAAGTTGCCGTGTCTTTTCGCCCTATTCAAACTTCAGATGACTTGACTTCTAGCTGCCGTTACTGCTATAGTATTATTGCGGTACCCATACTTCAAAATACCGGCTGTGTCACAGTATTTTCAGAATAGTTCCGTAATGCATGTAAATATTTACACATGCAGAACTGAAACGTTTGGCATGTAGTTGATTTTCTTTCCTAATAATTGCTTCAGGGTGTGAACATGAATGGTGTGAACTGTGAATATTACATTATTCAGCTCTGTTAATTAATCAATTAATGTCGTATCCAAATAATTGGATACGACGCAAAATTGGATACGATGAAAAATACGACGCGCCTCACCTTTAAGGCAAGATGGCCACATTCCCACGTGTTTGTAAAAGCAGGTTGCGTGCTTTAAAATTAAAAAATTGGTGTTCCCAGAACATGACAACATGTGTTGAGTATTAACAATGTGAAAATGTGCATTATTATTTATATTTATTTATTTAAACAAACAAACCAACCCTGGGTTAACAGGTAAGTGTGAAAAGTCCATCTGATATAAAGAAGAAACGACCACAAGAAAATATCCTGTACTGCAAGCTGCTGTGTGCTGGTGTCTTTACAATGAGATTTAAGACATTACAAAAATGACTTCATGAACTCCCATCTATAAAAAATTGTGAACTATCTGAAAAAAAGTGGAAGACTGCATTGAAGAAAATGGACTAAAAGCTGTTCCATGGACCAATGGGGAAAGCCAGTTAGCAGACCAAACACTGTTTCCACTGAACTTACTGAGGCCAGAGGTTTGTCTGGTCAACTAACAAAACATTTCATTTTTGCTTGAACTGAGGGATTTATGTGTGTCATGTGTTTTAATAAAAAATGGCAGTGAAACTAATGCTTGAAAGGTTCATGAGATGCCATAACTCCATTTGAACTTAAAGGGTTAGTTCACCCCAAAATGAAAATTCTGTCATTAATTACTCACCCTCGTGTCGTTTCAAACCCGTAAGACATCCGTTCATCTTCGGAACACAAATTAAGATATTTTTGATGGAATCTGAGAGCTCTCTAACCCTCCATAGACAGCAATGCAACTGAAATGTTCTGTTACATCGGTGAAACAGTCCATGTGACATCAGTGGCTCAACTTCAATTTCGCGAAGCTACGAGAATACTTTTTGTGCGCAAAGAAAACAAAAATTACGACTTGATTCAACAATTCTTCTCCCCCGAGTTACTGTCTTCCGCCATTTTGGAGAGTATCACAACGCATACGCATGCTATACCCTGAGTGTAAACAACGCTGATTACACCGATTACGTTCATGCGCGCGCTTTCCCCCCGAACATAAACAACGGCGATTACGTTCTTGGGTACTCTCCAAAATGGCAGAAGACGTAACTCAGGGGAGAAGAATTGTTAAATAAATTATTTTTGTTTTCTTTGCGCACAAAAAATATTATCGTAGCTTCGCAAAATTGAAGTTGAACCACTGATGTCACGGACTGTTTTGCCGATGTCCTTGCTACGTTTCTGTCTGGGAACATTTCAGTTGCATTGCTGTCTATGGAGGGTCAGAGAGCTCTCAGATTCCATCAAAAATTTCTTAATTTGTGTTCTGAAGATGAACGAAAGTCGTAAGGGTGAGTAATTAATGACAGAATTTCATTTTGGGGTGAACTAACCCTTTGTAAACAGACAAAAAAAAAGGAAAAGTCGTTAAAATATAAGTCATTGACAGAACACTGCCACCTAAAAGGGGGAAATACCATGTCTTTATTTTCCTTTACTTTTTGATATATAAAAATAAAGATTACAAAAGAGATTTTTGGAAAAGAAAAATGCTGACTTACCAAACAGAGTGGAGTATAAATAGTTGTATTTAAGTGTATTTATTTTTCAACATTTTATACCGAATTATTTGAATGGTGTGTGTTGTAAGGCATTATTATTTTTATATTTCCCTTTTTTTTGTTGTTATTGTCTGGTCACCAGCGTCGAGGCTGTAGATGAAAAATCTGTGGATCCTGTTTGAATAAAGGAAATGTGCAACGGTTTTGCCTTAAGGTCCTGAAGATGATAAAATATTGACCAAAGCAAGAGTCATCATGAGGACGGCATTCCTCTATGTATTGAAACCCAGCAGCAGGATATTAAAGAGAATAACGTGGCCCTTATGACACACAAAATGAAATATCTCAAAAGTCCTGTTACTTATTGAAGTGTATTAATATCAAACTGGAAAAGTTAAACAATCCTGACACCCATTAAAAAATGCTGCTGTCAAAAGGTATTTTTTGTGAGAATATATTGTGAGTCCAAAATTGTCCAAAATAAATGGAAAGAAAAATGTAGTTTTGTATTGTTTTAAATGCTCTTGTGAATACAAAAATTCTTCTGCCATCTAGTGGCATTTATACTAGTAGAATAGCAGGCCTTCATGTTTGTAAATAAGTGTATATACAGATGCTCAGAGCCTCATTTTTGAAACATAAGCATTATAAAACCATTATGTAAATTGTCACTGAATTTAATTTGGTAATGCATGCAAGAATTGAATATGAATAAAGAACTTTGTTTCGGGCCCACTATTATTTAAGATGTAAACTCAAAAAAGACTCCAAACTACAGCCACATCAAACTTTATTGACTTAGAAAAAGGACTTCCATCAGTTTCACTTGTTTTTGACAGACCAGAGCAAGTCAGTGAAATGAACTGAAAGAGCCTACATTATAGTTAAGAAATGGCCTCCGATTGGTTTAAGAGTATCAGAGGAGGTTCCTGATTGGTTGAGAAGGTTGGCCTGTGATTGGTGGATATCACAGTCAGATCAAATTAGGGTTTGATTGGTTCTTCTGGTGGGACCTGCATTAAGTGGCACGTGACGTGGTGCTGGTCAAACTCGAAGGGGCACCAGTCAGAGGCATTTTCTTCAGTGTTCTGTTAAGCTACAGAAGATAAGAAAGGTACAATCAAAATGTGACAACACAGATGTTTAATTCAAAAATAGATCCATAAACTGTAATTTACAGAATATGTATATGAATGCTATATGATATTATTCAATAATCCACTGTATATGAATTATTCAAGCATGTGTACCTCCTCAAACTTGTGGATCTGTCGGATAAAGAAATCTCCATAGCGACGGGCAACCTTGGTGTCTGCAATATGGATCATATCCTGATGGAACACCAAGTAAATTCATTTTTAGAATGACTCACAAAGTCATCTCACCAGCAAAACAAAATACATCTAAGCCTATTAAATATTAAATTATTTTAAAGATAAGACAACTGGCATGACTGTGGAAGCCATATATTGAATCTCATAAATAAGTGTTCAATTTGGCAGTTCTAGTTTAAAGACAGAAACTCAACACAAACACACACCTTGTCGATGTAGAAGTCGACCTCAGAGGCAGACTGAAACTCTCCATCCAGAGCAGAGATGCCGCTGGTCCACACCAGGTTCTTCATCTTGTGTTTGAAGACCAACAGCTGGATGCGAAACTCCTGCTCGGACATGTCCAGGAATCCAGCCAGTTTGGCCACAGGCATGGTGGTGTAGAGCTTCAGGAAACTGACAGAGACACATGGAGTCAGCTATGAACATTTCAAAGCTTATCTAATATCCAATGCTTCTACACATGCTGTGGGAATAGAAGATTCAGCTGTCAGCTGGGCTGGGCAATATAATTATAAATAGTTGTTAATAGGCAGATTAAAAGGTTAAAAAAAAAAAGTTAACAATTTTAAATAAAGATTTAAAATGATCAAAATCGTAAAAAAAAAAAAAAAATTGTCATGGCTCTTCCAAGCTGTATAATGGCAGTGAATGGTGCCCCTGTTTTTGAAGCCGAAAAAAGTGCATCCAACCATCATAAAACTACTCCACACGGGGTGTTAATAAAGGCCTTCTGAAGCGAAGCGATGCGTTAGTGTAAGAAAAATATTGATTTTTAAAAATGTATAAACTGTAATCTCCAGCTTCTGGTCACTCAAGCAAGCGCGTTCACGACAAGGCGCTCAAGCGTATGATGTAGGCGTAGCGGAAGGCGCATCGTAAGCTCCGGGTGTGTTCATCTGAAAGAGGAATGCCAGATAAGCCTAGGATGCCCTGAGGGTGAGTAAATCATGGACTAATTTTCATTTTTGGGTGAACTATCCCTTTAATACCAATATAACAAAACAGGAATCCGAATGGTCAAATAAAAGTCCATGGCCAGCCCTAGAAATAGGAGAATGATTGCTAAAAGTGAAGGAGAGCTCATTACACTCCTTACAATTCCTGTTCTTCCAATCAACAGAAGATAGAACTGCCCTTAACATTACTAAGCTGGTGTTGTACCTGCGGATGGTGGAGAGCTGCGCCTGCTGCTGCACTTCCTCTGCAAACACCTTGAGCTGCTGCTGGAATGGTTCTTTGTGGTAATCTGGATTAACGTTATCATAGTTTGGAACTACGGGTGACAGGAACTTGGGGCAGGCGAAACTGAACAACTCCTCAAACACCTGAAGATCTCTGAAAAAGAGAGAAATTCCTCCATTTTTTAGACGAATATATATATATATATACACAAAAAAAATATTCCTGAGAAAAATTTATACTTTTATTGAGCATTATTAAATGGCCCAAGTGACAGTAAAACAAAATTATGCTACAAATGATTTATAGTTCAAATTAATTCTATTAAAAAAAAAAAACTATCACCGTTTCCATACAAATATTAAGCAGCACAACTGTTTTCAACATTGACAATAATAAGTAATGTTTCTCAAATCAACATTTTGGAATGATTTCTGAAGCAAATGTGACACTGAAGACTGGAGTAATGATGCTGAAAATTCTGCTTCGCATCACAGGAATAAATCAAATCTTAAAATATATTCAAATAGAAAACAGTTATTTATATACTTAAATCGTAATAACATTTCACAATATTACTGTTTTTACTGTATTTTTCTTCAAATAAATGTAGCCTTGGTGAGCAGAAGAGACTTATTTCAAAAACATAAAATATATCTTACCATGGTAGTACATACATATATAACTTCAATGTATAATGTGTGCGTCTGTGTGTGTGTGTGTGTTCTCACCCTTTCTGCATGCGGAGCATCTTGTCTCCGTATTTCTCGCGCAGCTGTGTGTGAATGCTCTCGTCGATGCGCATGGGGTACATGGTGAGAGCGATGGCCAGCAGCCCGTGCATCTGCTCGTTCTGTTTATTAATCTGAACAACACACAATACACGATTTAGATTATTCACCACACCATTATGACAATACAGAACGAAACAAATACTATCTTCAAGTAAAACACTTGGAACATTAATGCACAAATTACAGCACCTTCTTCAGGTTTTGCATAATTTAATAATTACAATTACTGTAATGTGTCCATTTTTTACATTTTGTATGTAATTAGCATTTTCCTTATTACTGTAATAGAGTAATAGAGCATTTTACAGCAAAATAAAGATATATATATATATACACACACAAAGACAAATACTTTTTAATTTAAATGCACTGACCATCTCATATTTGTAGGTGGTTCTCTGGAACATATTTCTGGTCCTCTGGATGTACAGCAGAATGTTGGCAAAGACACGAATGGCGTCCTGATAGCGTCTCATCATCAGATACGCGAAACCCACATAATAATATGTGGTGATCTGACACTCGGGCACACGTGAATACATGCTCTGAAAAACACAAAGAACCAGATTTGATTATGAACAATGTTAGCATGCTGCCACACAATTCCAACTCTTTTTTTTGTCTTGAGACAACAGTACTCAGTGACCATAGTAGGACATTTTCTTACCTTCTTGTTGAGTTCGATGTTCTCCAGGACTTTGATGGCCTGATAGTAA